CTGGAGCCGCAGTTTTGTAAGTAATAAAATTGACGAGAGAGAAGGACATGCATAAAGTAATAGATATATAAATACAAAGGCTCCAAATAAAATAAATCATCACAATAAAGCGCATGAAACCCAACTGGAAGCGTAAAAGAATATATTGATTAAAATTAAATACAGACGTTTCGATTCTTTGTTGGGGTCATTTCAATATAAAATTAATAAATTAGTACTATTTATTGCGCACACATTAATACAGCGGAGATATCAAACTGATAAACAATTTATTAGTGCGATGTCATGTCATGAAACTGTTTGAATGGTGTTTAAAGATAAAAATTATCAACGTATATATTTAATATCTGATTGAATACTTTATCTGAATCGAAAAATAAAATTGAAATATTAAATAAAAACTGCACAGAAAAAAAACTATTCTTAAATCAATCATAATATACTCATATATAAGCAAAAATATTATAATCTTGACAATATCTTTATTTTCTAGTATTAATTATAATCTTGCTATCAATTTTGATTTGATTAAATTTGTTTTGATGCAAGTATTACTTTGCACTTAATTCAAGACTTGCTCAATAAAAAATCTGATATCAATACAAATAAATCTTATACCAAGACTAAAATTTTTAAAGCAAGATTACAATATTTTTGCTTATATACGAGTATATTATGATTAATTTAAGAATAGTCTTTTTTTTTGTGCGATTACCGTAGTTTAATATACAAATGTATGCGCAATAATTAGAATTAAGTTGTTAATTTTATGCTAAAGACTCAACAAAGAGTTGAAACGTTTATATTTAATCTTACAATCATATATTTTTTTACAAAATTTCCATTCAATATTAACTTTCATGATTTTTTTTTATTGCAATGACATATAATTCTTTCTCTTTTTCATTCTGTTCTACCTATTTCTCTCTCTTTTTGTCTTTCAAGAATTGTTAAAACATGGCATCAATTAAAAGTGGCTTTCTCATGTGCAGACTTTTATTAGAGGGTCTCTAATTCTAGCGAGTGTTACGACCACATCATTTGGAACAACCACTGCGTTGGAAAAATTCGAGAGTGAAAAAAGAATTTCGAGGAGAAACTTCAAATTCGAGCGGATTACAATAGATATACATAATATAAGAATATATCATTGACAAATTATATGAAATAGATTTCTCTATCGAGCAAATTATATACGGAATTTATCAAAGCAATATGAAGCGTGACAAAAAGATCAGTTTCTTCAAATCTTTTTGTTACGTATATCATCTTCATTTACAAGTCGACCTTGATTTCGATGTCATGCATAATCTAAACGCATCATCTACAGTCAAGTTTCTCCGAAATCTTCCTTGAGGTGCCTTCCACTTGTCTAATGCAATCCGAAGCGACTAACACTAAACTAGTTCCGAAAAAATAAAATAATAAATACATTGCGAAAAAAGAAAGAAATTTATACTAGCCAAGAAGAATACTTCGCTTACAATTTCTTATTTTTGGCTAGCCAGAATCATAACCATTAATATCTACAACTGTTTATTCAAGCGCGTTCCCGAACTTTTCCGACAACTGGTGTACTGAGAATCCCGGATTTAGAAAACGCAGCCGCGTTACTTCGCAAGAATTATTATTCCATTAGATTAGTCACTAATGATGACGGTTAACATTAGTCTATTACACTATCGTTATCATTAACTGTCATACGGTGATTATTGTACGCCGTTTTAGTGCGGTGAGGCATATTACGATTGCAATGAAATACTATAAACAGATCTCTCATTAGAAAGCCTATTTTGTGAATCGACCGCATCTTTAAGTAAATCTCTGCAATTCCCGATCTCGCGGAGAACACGATCCTGAGCGGGTTTTAAGCGCGTATAATGAAACAAGTTCTACGAACGGTACCTGCCGCGGCGGCAACCTTTGTATTCGAGTCCCGGTAAGTCCCATTGATAATGGCGAGTTCCATTAGCTGCCTCTTCTTTAGCTCATCCTCGCCATCAGCCTGCTAACAATCGACATTACCGTCAGAACCCACGACCGGAGGTGCAACGATAATTATCCTAGGAATGGATGGGGGAAGCTCGACATTGTGTGTACAGATCTTTTCCATTTACATATGAAAACGCCGACGTACGCGCGCACGAGGCCACTCACTTCGGAAGTGGTGTATGTTTCAAGCTTCGACAACTCGATTATAACACATCGTTTCGGCTTGCAAAAAAAACAACGTGCACTGAAAAAATGTACTAAATTTTAACGAATCATTTGTTTGAATAATACCAACTAAAAGTGCACTAAATATGAAGATATATTTATTTAATAATAATAAAAAGAGCTCTCAATAAACAATATTAATATAAATATAAAACTCAGGCAAATAAGAGCTAGAACATAGTTATTATTTTTTGTGCGTGATTATACAAAATTCTTTTCTTTTTTAATTCATACGAGTCAAGAACGAAAAATCAACGTTTCGGTTGTTATTTGCAACCATCTTCAGGATAAAAAGTTCTTAAAATCCGCAATCAATATAAAAATGTGTATCTAATAAAACCGAAGAATGCGAGTAAAATTTCTCAAAACCTCGAGGAACTACTTTTAAGAGTTTTTTATCCTGAAGATGGTTGCAAATAACAACCGAAACGTTGATTTTTTGTTCTTGACTTGTATGAATTAAAGAAGAAAAGAATTTTGTATAATCACACATAAATAATAATTGTGTTCTGGTTCTTATTTGCCTGAGTTTTATATTTATATTAATATTATATATTTATTTGGTACAAGAATTATTAATTGGATTTAACTATCTTTTTCTATATTGAATAAATTTATTTGCTGTAAGTAAATATTTAGTTGATACTATTCAAATAAATATTTAGTATAATATATTTTTTCTCAGTGCAATAATTTTTTTCGTAATTTTGTTGAAAAATTTTGCTCTTTTTTTCTTAGGCTTCCTTCGAGTTTTCGAGTTTTGATTCGAAACTAGAGAGGAAAGAGAAGAAAAAAAAAAACATGTGGGAAACTCTCCCGGTCAGATCTCTTTTCTCGCGTTCTTATAGTGCACGGGGCTATTATCGTATATAAGAGGGGAAGAGTATACAATTGGAACTTTCTCACCACGGGCACGAGTAGCTTCTTGACTTCCTCGACAGCTCGGGCGAGCTTCAATGTGGCACGATTCTCGGTGTCCTCGACAGTGAGCAGCACATGTAACTCGTCCGTCAGGTGCTCCCAATTCGGCTTGCCCCGATTTTGTTCCTCCTGGTTAATCAACACGGCGCGCAACTTGTTATATGCACACAAGCATTTGCTCATACATACACATACGAACTTAAGTCACAGAGTTTACATAAAATTATTACTCGTACTATTTACAAAAATATATAAATATCTGAATAATGTACATTAAATACTATATAAAAATTATAATATAAAGATTCGTGCGTGGTTTTCTGGCAATAGAAAGGAATAGAATAGAGCAGAATCGCGCGATTATAAATTTCACACTCTCTATACACGTGTTCCTACATTTCAGGCGAATTCTTTAATTAACAAAGCATCGATGTAAACTTTTATCGTGGGCTTTTGTTAACCAAATGAACGGCAATGATAATGATTGACAAAGAAACTTGCCGTTTACGTTGATCAGTGTGAGAAAGCAATAAATACACATCAAATTCACATCAAATTGTACATTGAGTTTGTTTCTACTGTATACTTATACTTACGAGAAAGCATTTCGCTCGTGTACCACGTGCAGCTTGAAAAAAATATGACGCTTGGTTTAATGCTCTACATGAATCACTCATAGTTAATTCCAAACCCACTTGTCATTGTCTCTGGGAAGATCCCCCAATACTAATCGCAAGCATTCTTTATTTACAGCCTATATTAATTCTCCGATGTTGATTAAAAAATATATCATTTAGCTATAACTCACATTACTTCAATCATATTTGCGTTCACAACATTCTTCTTAAACGAGAAGTGTAATAAAGCGCGATTAAGACGAACAGACCTATGATTAGTAGAATCGACCATTATTATAACAGCTGTCGTCGTTTACGACCGTTATTTAATTTCAGGCGCTTGTTGCCGTTAACGAGCATAATACTCATATGTTCCTCCGCGATATTTAATACCGCGCATCGAGAAAAATATCTAAATTAACTCACTTTGAGAAGAAAGTCTTCTTTTCTCAAAGAAATTTCATTTCTTTCACACAACAAATATTTTCAATAACAAATATAAGCTCAATAAATTTCAGCCCTTTCTTACCTTTTTCTTGTCCCTCATCGATCCTTTCCCGCGCACCATGATTTTGCATCCTGTCTCTTGTTCCAATTGTTTTGCGGTCATGCCCCGTGGCCCCAGAATCCTCCCGACAAAGTTGAACTGCAATTTATATGGAAAAATCCGTTGAATTTATTGCCCACTTTCGTGCAATCAATGCATTCATAAAAAAAATCTAACCCTTCGGTACCACTCTACACCGTTTTGTCACGAATTTATCACACTACACTGAACGAAAAGATTGGCTGAATGTGGCATAGCATTTTTAATTGGTTGAAGCAGCCAATTTTTGGTTGCGTTAGCTTATCGAAATCCTATACTGACATTGCGTATAGGCTAAAGCAACCAAAAATTAGCTGTTGCAGCCAATTAAAAATGCTATGCCATATATTACCATCTAATTTGCTGCAGCAACTAATTTTCTCTTTCAGTGTAGAAATTGTGAAATATATTGCATAAAAAATGAACATATAACAAATTTTTTTCAATCCAAAAACCAAACATTAAAGAATACAACAATGACAAACATATGTATATAAGGTAAACGTCCTAGTGACACACTTGTACAATTTATTATTAATTAATCTCAAATGGTTTTTTAAATATAATATAATTTAATTGTAATTTTTAAATATGGCTAAATTATAATATTGTAATAAAAAGAGCATTTGAGATTAATAATAATAAATTATGTGTAAGTGTCCGGACATAGGTATATATCCGATCATTGGGACGTTCACCTTATCTTTACACTGAAAGAAAAGATTGGTTGCTGCAGCAAATTAGATGGTTAAATATAGCATAGCATTTTTAATTGGCTACAGCAACCAATTTTTGGTTGCATTAGTCAATCGAAATCCTACACTGACATAAGCTTAATACAACCAACAATTGGCTGCAACAACAAAAAATTGGCTGTTGCAACCAATTAAAAATGCTATACCATATTTTACCATCTAATTTGCTGCAGCAGCCAATCTTTTTTTTCAGTGTATTATTAAAAAAGTTGTAGCATGTAAAAAAAGCTCGGGTGTGTCATAATGAGAGTAGCTCTGAAGGATTTAATTCTAAAAAATGTTCAAAGAAAACAAGAGAGATTTATGTAGAGACGGAAGAATCAGAGATTACTTACTAATCGTCGCGTTTTTAGAACACTTTCCGAACGATTTGTATACAAATATCAGCATGTACATACATTATATAATACTATATATAGATAGATAAATATAGAGGCATATAATACTCTCATACATAGATATATATCACTTAGTTTTACGCACAAAGCACTAAATTTGGCTTGTACGATCGTGTGAAAAAAGACTTGTTCCACGAGATATCTAGTTTCATTGTTGGATCCCGGTAAATAAAGACGGATAAGTTTAGACGATGAATCATCCGCGTCTCTTTAGCCCGGTGCTCGCTTATTTCTTTATTTTTTCAAAAAATACCGAGATTTTAATATATGCGATTGAGGCGTGTCTAAATGTTGAAGTGCAGTGGAAGGAAAAGCTATAAGGGAGAGAGAGACTCCAACACCCTACAGACATCTCCCATTTATCCTAAAGAAACATAATTTAGTGTAATCTCAAATAAACACGTAACGCAGAATAATAACAATTTTACCGATTCATGCAAATTTATGCAGACACGAAAGATAAGACGATGAGTGACCGTGCTTGGTGCGTTCAAGGAAGTGTCCTTCTCGGTGAAGATAAGAATCATGCGTCGATAACATGAGACATTATCGAAAGCTATCAATCAGCGTGAAATTGGTGCATGATAATAAGATAATTATGAAGTCGATGGACGCACAAAGTAAGACCGCGGGTCGTCTACGACACGATAATGGGCGAATCGATCGATAATTCACAAGAGGCATCCATAATAAGCTAATAATTGCCGATGCCTGCGATTATCAATCAATGTCTCGCGCGTGAAAACCGACGTACTTTTTTCCCATCTGTTCTCGTCGAGCGGATATCTCTCTTGTATCTTTAAATAAATTAAATACACAATACCAACATGAAGATTTAACTAAAAAAAAAAAGAGATCGAGAGACCCGCACGAAAGGTTAATAAGCTTACGACCCGGTTATTACGTCTCAATGAGAACCAACCGCTCCGGTAGAAACGCACGAGCGAGCGAGACGAGGAAACGGAGCGTGGAGAAGGAAAGGGAGTCGTCTCTTCGGTGCGAACCCTATTTCGGGCGTTACAGAAATAACATTCAGCGTTCGATGTTGAGTGCATGCTGCGCATCGCTCGATCCCGTCTCCCGAGATCGGCGAACGATACTCTTCCTCTCGCGGATCCGTAGCGAAAATTACACTTCATCGACGCGACGGAGAAACGCGTCTCTTCCAAGAAAATTTTCGATAGATTTAGATACCCATTCACGGTGGATGCTGTATAAATATACAGAGTGTACGGTAAAAACGCTTAAGGGTAGATTCCTGAGATCATTTTGAGACAAAAATTCTAGTACCAAAATGTTGACGCTTTAGTAGTGTTTGAATTATACACTGGAAACAAAATTTGCTAAATTTTAATAAATATTTGTTTCAATAGTATTAGCGAAATATTTACTTACAGTAAATAAGTATTTACTCAAAATAAAAAAATTATGCTTAAATCAAATAAATATGTGTTTATATTTAATAAATATTTCGTTAGTACTATTGAAACAAATATTTGCTAAAATTTAATAAATTTTTCTCCAGTGTAAGCACTTGAAGTTATCGAATTATACCGTCAGAAGTTCGCACGTTCAGATGTGATACAATGGAAAATCCAACCGCATCTAAGCACGCGAACTTTAGGCGGTATGATTCATTATCTTTAAATACTTACAATTAAAAAGCTATTATATATGTATCCCTCGACATTTTGGTAGAATTTTTATCTTAAAATATAAATGATCTCAATCTATCCTTAAACTTTTGTTTTCATCGAACACTTTGCATATATGTGTGTGTGTGTATATATATAATATAGATATAATATGAACATATAAAAATAGATATTATAATAAATAGCCCCACAATTCGGTCGACTTTATGCCCATTTTTACCAATGTAATTTAATTTTAATCTCGGTTTAACTAACTCTTTTAGTTATAAGAATTAGAAAACGATGAAGAATAAGTATAAGTTGAACTGAAACTAAAGTTAAACTTTTATCAATATATTAGTAAAAGTATATTAAATACATTTTTTATAACATTAATAACTCTAACTACCTTCGAAGAATTCTAAATAAATTAATTCCTTTCATGGAAATGATCGCCCATGTTGTGCCGAGATCTTTTAAATGTACAATCATCAAGGACCGGTTCCACTAATGTAAGATTAATAATAATCTTTAATCTCGGTCTAATTTACTGTTTAATTCTTAGAATTAGAAGAAGATACACTAATACGAAATAAAAGATTGGCTGCTGCAGTAAATTAAATGGTAAAATATCGCACAGCATTTTTAATTGGCTGCTGCAATTAAAAATGCTATTCAGCCAATTTTTACTTTCAGAGTAAATTAAATCAAGATTTATGTTAATCTTACATTGGTGGAATTGGACCGAGTTCTGAGCCACGCAATACGTCAAGTTTTGAGCCTGTCGTGTTTTAAATAAAGTTCATGAATAGATATTTCTTTTGCATATGAGATAAAATAACGGGTTTCTTCCGCAAACTAGCGTTTAATTCATTTCGTTCTGTCCACTCATTACAAAATAACAGATATTTAGTTTCAGCAACGTCCCGATTGTCGTCCATTAGCTAATGTATGTACACACTAAATGATTAATGTAAATTCTCTCATAAAAGCATCAATACGCTCGCTCTCTTCAATTCTCTGAAGAATCTCCACATTTTCGTGTTCCAAGCGTATTCCTTGAATCGCGCCTTGTGATAATCCGGGAAACATGCCAAGTTTATATTACATATATGCGTCAGTCTCTCGTGGTACTTACGTCTGGGTGTTCCTTAACGGGTACATAGACCTTCTCCGTGAGCGTCGTAATGTCGCCATCGGGTTCCGGCAAGACGAGCGGCTCCTTTTTCACTCCACTGATTTGAAAAAGACTCGCCCGCACCTTCGCGATTTCTGTAACATAAAAACGATCCAACGATGAGTACGCGACGATTGACAAATTCCTTCGAATTCGAAGAATCGAGGAACCAATGACGTCTTAAATTGGAAAGTTGATACCCCGAATTCTCTGACTTTTGGTATAATCGATAGAATCCCAGTTCCTCTTTGAGAATTCAACAATTCCAAAAAGAATTCCAGCAAGATAAAGAACAGGGATTCGAAAATATGGGACACGGATCTGTGAAGTTAGCACGACATTTCATATATTAATATAAAAAAATAATTACAGTTCCAACACTTTTCATTGTTCTACGATTTTACATAAAAATAAAAAAAGTTCCTCATTTTTTATGCCAAAAAATAAAAAACACTACTTTCGCAAATCTAGCAAGATATCTCTTCCTTTAAAGTACCGATTTGAATTCACCAATACTTTCGATGGAAGAATTCTCGAGGAGCTCGGACAGAGTTTAGATGCGACACGCCGATTACATTGAATGGGCCAATCTACGAGGAATCTAGGGTGACCGTTATATTAACGAGGAAAACGAAACGAAGCGCGAGCGAAATGGAACCGCGTGCATCCTTCATTCGATAATACGTCACGCGATTGGTCTCTTTATATGTGGCGTCTGACTGTATAGCGATATAACGTATAAAGCGTGTCCCTGCATACCTACGTTCGCAGTCACGCATGCACGCATTTACGCGACTTATACGTACATAAGTACGTTAAACGCAGCGCTAATAACGGCGCTGCGAATCTAACGGTTGGGCGTGGCTCCCCCTCTTAAATGGCGAGAAAGGATTAAATTTCTTATTCGATTTTTTGTTTATTTGTCTTCTTGCTGTTCCATATGGAACAGTTGATAACAATTGATACATATGGCATTGGAAGAATTGCCTCAATCAACTTGAGTGAAAAATGTTTTAACCTTTCTTTTCAAGGAATTAAAAATTTTATTGATATATTCGAGGAAATGAAAAAAATACATTTTTATTTTATATAAATATTTTTTTACTTCTTTCAAAAATTTATTTATTTGAATTTGACAAAATATACGTGATTTTATGATCTTAAATAAATATTTATCTGTTTACTTGCAATAACCAGCTGTGTGTAAAAAATACGGATAAACCTTCTAAATTTATATATAATTAAACGAATTTATATCTGTTATTTTACGCTAGGAATTAATTATTTAGCATTAAAAAGAATATTTTTGCGAACATTTTCACGATAAAAAAATTTACAGAAGCACTTCAAATAATTCAAATGTCAAATTTAATACAGTGTAACTAAAGTAAAATTACAATATCAAAGGGAAACAAATCGCGCTTTGAGATTCAATCTCATGGGGAATATTTTCGCAAATATTTCCACGATAATAAAAATTCAGACGCACTTCGAATTATTCAAGTGTAACTGAATAAAATTTACTGTAACTAAAGTAAAATTATAACGCCGAGTACGAGATTGCTACAAAAGAGAAACAAATCATAGTTTGAGATTCAATCCCGTGCAATCAAGAAATAACCCTTAGCTAAGTTGTAAAGATGATTTTGTTTATCCCGCGTTCGATCGGTATACCGACGATCGGTGTATCGCGACAAAGGATCGCGGGGCCCCGTCGTGCAACCCGGTCGTGCTCTTCCAACATACATATATCCGCCGTAACCGTAAAGGTCAACGTTCCGCGTCTGCCCCACTTTCTCGCATGCCTGACCTCTTCGGCTCTTCGTCGTCTTCTCGTGCCGATGATCCGCGCTCACGCGACGACACCGAGGCTCACGGTGACCGCAAACCGCCGCTTTTCGCGTAAACTATCCGCAAATCACGCACCATGTAACTGTAATTCCTGCCGAACCGCGCATTTACGGCGACCGCGTGAAATTTGTCCCGATTTGGAGGAAGGAAAATCTCCAGACGCTCCAGACCACAGGTCTTATAAATACGAAATAAGTCGCGTCTCTCCTTCACCTGTCTCTCGAGATCGTTTCGCTCAGATAAATCAATTACAAATGCAAACCTAACAAACAACTTCGATCTGACAAGCTACTTGTAGTCGTGTTTTCATTTTGTCTTTTTCATCTTGAGTGATTCTGCGAGCTCCTAAAATTTGATTTTCAACATATAAAATTAATATATCATATATTTTCAATCGCAAAATAATTTTTACCGAAATAGTCTAAAATAATTAAAAATTAATTTAATAGTTTATACTTGATAACGTACGTCACACATAAATCACGTAAAATAATTTTGTTCGTCCGATATGAGGAAATTTCATGTAAATAAGCAAATTTGCGAATAAACGATGAGCAAGCGCAATTACTATTATATTTCCTATATTAAACGCGTTCATAAATGAATCGATCAGTGGCTGCGCAGTAAATCGTTTATAGCAGTTAATGACTACACATTAAGCTCGCTTCTTCTAATGAAACACTCGATTATCTTGAAGAGAAACCGATTATTAGCCTCTCAATGGACGCGCTGTTTTTATTCAACGAGGAAAGACAGGTGGAACGCGATATCGCGGACTCGGAGTACGTACGCCGTGATTGAGAAATCTCAAGAGAAATCTTTTGCGAATCGCAGAATTCGCAAGGACGAGAGCACAGTCATAACGCGTGATACATAATAAGAAAATGGACCAATCGAAGTCCTTCATTTCCTTCCTTTTCATAAAATAAAAGACTGATTAGTTGACTTTTTACGCTTTACACGTTGACTGCAAAGATTTGTGCTCCGGTCTTAATTAAGATATCCGCTTGAACAGCCATCGATGGTAAAAGAATTATTGGCGGAAAAACGTCGAGTAAATCGATGTTATTGCGACACCGTGTAAAGTAGTGAAAACAAATCGATGCTTTATCGGTGCGATTATTCGACGCCAAGAGGCATCATCGGCTATGGACATGCCGCGCCGCTGATTGTCACACTTATTCCAAATGGAAAACATCAGATCTTTTAACGTCAGACCTTACACGCGCGCGTTGCCCAGTCTCTCGACACGAGTCATCTCGCAACAGCCGCGATTTTCTCGAGAGTCGCGAAGGGGAAGTGGGAGAATGAATGCGTCGGTGATTCGCGGTATGCCCGCGAGGTCCGCGCGTTGTCCGATCTTCTCTCTCTCTCAAACAGGAGACTCGGAGGCGCGAGGAATTCACGCGAGAGGAAAACGCAGATGTACGTTGATCACTGTCGCGGATAGATAGACGCAGACAGAAAAACAGATGAGCGGGGAAGAGGAGAATGGCCAGGGCGGAGGGGGGACGAGAGGGGAAATAAAGGAGGGCATCATAGCCGCTTTTAGCACGGCGCAGCTCACCAGCCCATCTGCGTGACATCAGCTGACCGTCGTTCTTGGCTCCTCTCTCTCTCTCTCTCTCTCGCGTTTTTCTTACGTCGATTTCTCACGTCTCAGCTTCTCGTACACTACCCGAAATGCGTGTGGCGTTTATTAGTTGCACGAGTGTCGGATGCGAGTGAGAGAGAGAGAAAATTTCCATCAGTGTCTTCGTTCAATGTCAATATAGCGGGCGGCCACATTTACGTCGCAAGAAGCACGACGTGAGGTACAATAATAAAAACGTCGGTCACAGAGAACGAAATCTCGATTCATTTGGATGGTAACTCAGCGTCACGTGATGCGTGCGCGCGCGCGCGGGCGTGCACGCGTGCACGTGGGTGTGCGCCGGCACAGTGGCGAGGAGATACAGCACCGCGCGTCGCGACGACGACGGCATGAGATCACCGATGTTGTAATCGGTGAGACACCACGATCCGTAACCGCATATCGCTCGGAAGCTGAGGAGTCGTTCTCCAAAGAGCGATGATATTGACAAGCCTGCCCCCCCCCTCTCTCTCTCTCTCTCGTTCCTTCTCTCTTCGCCCGACATGAATCACGCGCGCCGTTCGCGCTCGTCTCGATTCATCACCCGTCTTAAAGCGTATATAATTTAGCACGATCGAATCGAACGAAAGGAAATCGCTTGGAAATTTTGTCAAACGCTAATCGTTCGTTTGTTAAAAAAAGTTTTATATTAATCGCTTTGTATTTTCACACATGTGATATACTGAAGTCTAAAGTTATGCAAGTATTTTATACTCAGATAATGGCACAGAAAAAAAGACTTTTTAAATCAACTATATGTTCATGTGCAAGCAAAATATAATTTTGCTTCAAACATTTTAGTCTTGATTTGATTGAATTTGTATTGAATATGGATGTAATTTTTGATTGTGAGCAAGTCTTGAATTGAGTGCAAAGTAATACTTGTATCACCACAGGATTCAAATCAAGAATTTTTGAAGCAAAATTTCTTTGCTTATATATATGAGCATATTATGATTGATTTAAAAAGTCTTTTTCTATATATTTGCTTACTTTGGTGGCAAAGTTATCGCATAACGACACAGATGCATAATCTCATTTTTGATGTGAGTTTAACAAGATTCAGTAAAGTACACGGTCTCGAGTTAGTATACAGATTATGGGCAAAAACTCAATTGAATTCTCACTTGTCAGAACGCAAAGGAACGTGCATTCAACTGAGTTATATAACGTCACGAACGAGAATTATCCGAGTTTCAATGTAAATGAATAGCAATATGAATACGTGCCTCGAGGAAATCGAAAATAACAAATTACGCATTTCGTCGAGGATTACGTGGGCTCGTCGGTGGCGACAAAGGCAGCCCGTAAACGTTGAATATCAGCTGAATCCTCGCACTGCACGAATGCATAAGAAATACCGTTACGATGAGAATGCGACTGCCGGGTGTGTATTGCTAATGCGTTACGTGATCTCCATTTTTAGACCGAGTACTGGCGGACTTGACTTTAATGCGGCTTCAAGTAACGTACACGCGTGATGCATAAATAGAGAATGCCGGACTGCGTATAATTAAACTATCGTTACTTCGACTAATTGCATCTCGTTACACGATTACTTCTGCTAACGTCCCGTAATGAAATTATATACAAATACACGCGCGAGTTAAT